ATACGATTCCTGCGTGCAACGGACACCGACTGTCGAAGCGTTTGACAATTCAGCGGGCGGCGCGGTGCAAGCCGGCGTTATGTGCAACGCGCAAAACAAGAAAGCTGGCAAAATGGGAAAATTAAAAACTCCGCCCCGAATGCTGGCACACACATACATATGTACATGCATGCAAATATTTCGTTTTTGTTTTATTCTTTTTTTACAAAAATGCACCTAATAAAACTAAAGAGTATAAAAACGTAATAAATGAGAAAGAAAAAAACTCGAGTTCGAGAACAAAAATGCAACAAAATAATTACATACACCAACGTAAATAATCGAATTTATTTTGCATACATATACATTTAAGCAGTAGGTGTGATGTAGACACATCTATACACACATGTCTGTATACTTGCATAAGCGGCGACTGACTCCGATTGAGTCCCCATGGGAAGATTTTACGAGCGAAGAGTGGACTCTGTGCGGAAGAATATACTCGAAAATATAAAAAAATGGAGCCTGATAACTGAAATTTCGGACAAAGTTACTCCTTTTAAGAATAATTTTGCCTGTCATGAAGATATAGGTGCGACGCTGAGGGCATGTGCTGACGATATCGATGGTATCCGCATACGTCTTGGGTCACACGTCACTGTTGAGAGTTACGATTACAAAGTTGTCGCTTATTTTGGAGCCTGCAGGAAGTTTGGAGGGACTTTCAACTATAAAAATTTCGTACAATTCTTAACAATGATGTTTGATATCCTCTACCAAGTAACGATCATTTATTATAATGCTCAAAAAACGATTCAATGATTCGCATTTGGATAATTGATTTGCTTAGCGGGGACACGTTTTTGTGAAAAATCTGTGGAAAGTAGCAGCACCCACATAAGCCCACAATTGATTTATTCAACGTGTCAGAAATCAATGAAAACGATGGCTAAATCGCATGAACTGAGTTTTGAATGAAGATAAAAGCTATTCGTTTCGAAAACGACAAAATCTTCATATTCATTATAATAAGGTCAAAAGAAAATGGAAATCGTATGCCACTCATTTTCGGCCACATAAATTTCTGGATTACTACTTGGGCTGAGGTTTAGGTTAGGTTGGGTTAGGTTAAATGGCTGATCCCTCAGCATTGCGAGGGGACCACGCTAAGACTATTATGTACAGTCCTTTGCCCTGATGAGCCAAACACAAGAGCTCCCGTAGTTGGATGCCAGCTATCGGCATAAATGCCCTGAACCCATCACAAGTTTATTAGGTGTTTTATTTTTATTTCCGCTATTGCATCTGGATGTCTAATGGTATGACATCCAAGGTGTTTTTGTCTTCATTTAGCTAAAGCGGGGTATTCGATAAAGAAGTGTTGATATTATTCTACCTCATCTTCTTCCAAACAGATTCTTCCAATCTTACTGCATGAATCAGGGAGTCTACAGACAGCACTCAACCACTGAAATGTGGACCCTGCTGAAAGCGAAGAGTTCCCTGGACCTCCTGGGATTTACCCTAGGCCAGAAAAACTTTGCGACTGTACAGATGTTGGTAGTCGACCAGTGCTTGCTGATTTAGTCTGAAGGCAAACAGTCCAGTAGTGAGACAAAGCTCCTAACCGTTCCCATTCAGCTGTTATTGAGACTGAACTGCTTGTCCTAGCAAGCTCATCAGGCTTACAGTATCCTGCAATACCGTCTAAACATAAAATAATCGATTATAGAGAAAAGGAGTCTAGACATCCTTTCACTAGTTTTGAGCGCACAGTCAGCGAAGTCAAAGCTAATATCGCTGTCCTGCTATCAGAGTGGATAGTCATCACTATAAAGGAGGCTTTCTCATCGGAGCAGTAGATTTACTTGATTTAAGGCAGCCGCCTTCACTTAGAAAACGCTTCTATCCTCCAGCAAGGAGGATCCTTCCCTCCCATGCTTTCTTCGAAGATATGTGAGCAAAAAAGCGATGACCAGGATTAAGTTCAGCGACCTGGTAATCCAAGTATTTTGGAATTAAATCAAAGTGTGCGGGGATTCAGGAGTGCCCCGCCACGATGTTATCTAAGTACCGAGATTCTCTGAGTCTGAGGGCAGCTTTCGTGACCATTCACCTTCCGGCTTTAACCACAGGTGCTATATGCAGCAATACTTTTAGTGCAACCATGGTTCGTAATGCACCACAAATACTGATGAGAGTAGCCCGTTGAACACTCTCACTTGCTCTTTACTCGAAGATTAGATTTCCATAAGAGCTTTTAGCTGTGCTAGAGTTTATCACCATATCTTCTCTGAAGATTGAGCTGCCTGTTGTATGTTAAAGTTAAATAAGCTACTCAGGTTCAAAATGACATTATATTAGGATCTAAACTAAAGAAATCGGAACTGTCAATTTGAAAATTGTCGTTCCCATGCCGATATATGGTAAAACTCTTTATCTAGCTATGATTATTTGATGATACTACAAGCAAGCGTCATCAAACACACCGTACTTTCTATGGAACATGTTGCAATACAATCCTTATATACAAGTTTTAGTTAAGAATACGTTACGCAGAACTCAGCTTTTTTGACAGCAATATCGCTGCCTAAATTTTTCAGCACTATACATTACTAATTTTATAAATATTGTTGTTTTTTTTTTAGTTTTTAAGTGCATCAATATTAAGTCTGGTGTACATACATACAAAGTAAGTAAAATACAGGTTATTAAATATAGTTAGTATTCTTTATACGAGGGTTATCTAAAGACAGCCACTCTACCTGCCTCCCTACCTTATACGAGTATAGTTGTTAAGAATTTTATGTGTCGTTTATCTACAATATTTTTTATGATGCGTTAGCAAAGCCAATCTAAAAAAATGGTATTTAATTTAAGGGTATAGAACGCCGCGAACCTGTAAAAATTCTACACAGTTTTTGATAAATTGTTGGTGAGTTTACGCTAAAAGTACAGCGAAATGACATACACCAACAGCCAAGCAAGGCAGGTGCTGGCTTTCAATAGCTCAAAACAAAATATCCTCAAATCCGTGACGCAATAAGGAAAGTAGGAATTTTGTTGAAAAACTTAGTGCCGTAACAGATGAACACGTTAACGGCTGTCAGCAAATTAAAAACATTTTACATCGGGTATTTCTGTTGGTTGGTGCATGAAAACAGTAAGGAGTACAATTTTGTTTTTTCTTGCAGACCAATGCAATTGATATAGTAATTAGTCCTATAAATATATAAAATCCTATTCTTCCCCCGAATTCAGAAAGATCCCTGATCATTAGAAAATAGTTATCACTATATTCCTTTCTTTTTGTTTTAATATTCAGAAGAACGCAAAGCTACTTCTTCGTCGTTTTTCCATTCATAAATTTCAAAACATAAATTTCGAATGCCTTCCACCAAATTTGTAGCGCAAGTCGTTCAACCAATCACTCATTCATAAAATAACGCAATAATTCTCAATTCTTATTTCATATTTTCATAACTATATCCACTACTGAATGATCTTTAGTCTTTAGTTTGCAAGACAGCAAGGCAACAAGTGCTAATCGTTGAATATTCAACGCACATTTCATAAATCGTCCGACGCCGACTAATGTGAATTTGAAACGCTCCGTGCCAAAAGTGATTTATGCGCGTGTGGATGTTTGTGTATGTGCAAAAAAAGTGTACCAAAATCCATGCCACCGAGGCCACTAAAAAGAGCCAAACGAATTTTCTTAGCAGTTGCCTGAAGGCATGTGGTAGGCACTGCATAGAAGGGGACCAGTGGTGCACCTTATAAATAACATTAGCCACTTGTCAGAAGTGCCAATGAATGGGCACCTCCACGCGCGTTCCGATGCTCTTGCAATGGCGAAATGAGGAGATTTTTAAAATATATTCCGTTTTCATTTTCGCTAAGGAATTTCGCTAAATTTATTGGGCATTCGCGTGTGTGGTTGTGTGCACATATCATTTCGATTGCGCTTTGTTACAACAATCTGGGCACATTAAGTTGACAAGTTAATACTAAATAATATATATGTGGGGAAGTGTGGATGGGAGTGTGTACGTAGATTGTAGAAAAAGTGCGGCGCGGTTATAAATACACATTATTTTATGATGTTAATGATCTTCGCGCTGATGTTTGCCAGAATTCACAATAATCTAAGCAAAGATATACATGTATGCATATATAGCGCTATCTGCTTCTGTGTGACGTGGAGAGGGCCGTGGTATTTATTTTAAAAGTTTTATGCCTACATACGCCTTGAACTTCAGCAATTTATAATACTTTAACTAAATAAAGATGAGACATTCTTTTAAGCAAAAAATAACTGTTTGCTATATTTTCCTTACAACTAATCCAAAATCAGAAAACTTGCTATAAGCTGAAGTAGTCGATTAGCCAATGCATGAGCTGCTCTGGAAATCTACCTCTTCGCCCTTTGATTGCTTTGAGTTTCCCCATAGTTTGAGATTAAGTCGCGTTTAGGGAATTTTAGGCTTTTAAGCTCGTTATAACCTTAGTTAATAATAAGTTCTAAGATTTGAGGTCAGGCATTTATACTAGACAATATATGTTAATGGAAATTGACCAATACAAAAGTATGGCAACCTGTATATTGTTGTGAAAAGATTTCCCAGAATAAATACCAAGGAGACCGTTTAACTTACCCACCGTTTGCTTTATATTTAGGTCCACATAACCGGAATAGATACGAATTTATGCTCAGTCAAGGTCTACCACCGGAGCCGAGTTCCACAAAACTACTTATATGCTGCTACAATAACAAGAATAAATCAAAAATTTATTCTCAATGCAATTTAAACATTAGAACCCACTGTGTCAAAGATTGAGACTGAAAATGATCATTGGGTAATGCGAGGGTGCAAAAAGACTTGCCCGTCATCACTTTATAAAATTCTGGTCGCTCAATGTAGTGTGGCGCAACAAGTGATTACTATGCATGCCACACCATCTATGGCGATCGTTACACTTCCAAGAGTGTTCTCTCAATGCAGTACCGTTACAAACACGACCCTACCACATTTATAAGTATTTATAAACAAGCGAAACAAAGAACGACGGCAAGCAAAAATTATTCTTGATCCTGCGCGCCTACTAGTGGCGCCCATTCTCTGGGACTTTAGTTGCAAACCATATACATATATGAGTAGTGTATTAACAGCAATTCACAAAACAAAAATTTCATTACTTTTTGGCAGCAGAATTGTGCCTCATTTCGAAGGCAATCACAGCGCATCCGAATAGAAATTCATCTCAATTGGACGCCCTTTCTACAACTACGTGATAAAAAAATTCAACTGAAGATGAGAAAGCATTGATATGTGTCCGATATTGTGGAGAGCACTAATGCATCAAAATGAGATTTAATTTATGTGAGCACTGTGTCAATTTAAAAGGCGCTGCGTCCAACATAATTGAATCACTTTGGTCGCTGTCACGTCGGAAATCACACGTTGCTGCAGATCTTCACGTCCATTGTAAATTTGGATTTTGTACTTAATCCGTTGCTGTCGTAGTTTGTGTAAGTTTGCTCAGCTTTAGGTCGGCGACAGTTTGGTTTCGGGCACCTTACGCCAGTGATATCAGGTTTCTCCACTAATTCGTGTGCATAACTGTCTTTGTAGTGACAAATCATAAAGTCTCAAAATGTGTGACGAAGAAGCTTCTGCTCTGGTTGTCGATAATGGTTCCGGCATGTGCAAGGCTGGTTTCGCCGGTGATGATGCCCCCCGTGCAGTATTTCCATCGATTGTGGGTCGTCCTCGCCATCAAGGTGTGATGGTGGGTATGGGTCAGAAGGATGCGTATGTCGGTGATGAGGCGCAGAGCAAACGTGGTATCCTTACCTTGAAGTATCCCATCGAGCACGGTATAATCACCAACTGGGACGATATGGAGAAAGTGTGGCATCACACATTTTACAATGAGTTGCGTGTGGCGCCTGAGGAGCATCCAGTTCTGCTGACCGAAGCCCCACTTAATCCAAAAGCTAATCGCGAGAAGATGACCCAAATTATGTTTGAGACATTCAACTCACCTGCAATGTACGTCGCCATTCAGGCTGTGCTATCACTTTATGCCTCTGGTCGTACCACTGGCATTGTGCTTGACTCTGGCGATGGTGTCTCTCACACAGTTCCCATCTATGAAGGTTATGCCTTGCCTCATGCTATCTTGCGTCTGGACTTGGCTGGCCGTGACTTGACCGACTACCTCATGAAGATTCTAACTGAGCGTGGCTACTCATTCACCACCACTGCTGAGCGTGAAATCGTGCGGGATATCAAGGAGAAGTTATGTTATGTTGCGCTGGACTTTGAACAGGAAATGGCAACAGCCGCTGCATCTACATCATTGGAGAAGTCTTATGAGTTGCCTGATGGTCAAGTGATTACTATTGGTAATGAACGTTTCCGCACACCCGAAGCGCTCTTCCAGCCGTCATTCTTAGGTATGGAATCCTGCGGTATCCATGAAACTGTCTACCAATCCATCATGAAGTGCGATGTAGATATCCGAAAGGATTTGTATGCCAACAATGTATTGTCCGGTGGTACGACTATGTACCCAGGTTAGTTTAGCACATCCATAGCTGTTTGCGTTGCTTCCATAGAAATGAATTAAACAAATTTGTATGTGTTCACAGGTATCGCTGATCGCATGCAAAAGGAAATTACTGCCTTGGCTCCTTCGACCATCAAGATTAAGATCATTGCTCCACCTGAGCGAAAATACTCCGTTTGGATTGGTGGCTCTATTTTGGCCTCTCTGTCCACCTTCCAGCAGATGTGGATATCCAAGCAAGAGTACGATGAATCCGGTCCCGGAATCGTGCACCGCAAGTGCTTCTAAGCGCTAAAGGTAGGCCCAGCTCGCACATCTGTTTCCAACCAAAACGAGGAGATCCAAACTCTCAGCTGCACACCATTGATCTACATCCCACCGTGTCTGTACAGCTGCTGAATCCACCCCAGGGTGGCAGGACCTATACGAACATTACAAATATGAGAATGGATATAAAATGAAATATTAAAAATATTCACTAAACTCAAACCATTCGAAAGCTATCCTCAAAAATTTCTTTGCTTTTTTCACGCGATTCGATTTGGTTTCCATTTACTTTCTAGATTATTGCAGTATTTGTTTGTATGAACCGAAATAAACTTTATTCGTTCGCCAGCAAATAACAGCGAAGTCTCTTTACTTCCGCAGTTTTACTGAAATCAGGGAAGAGGGGCAAGTATACGTAGTTCAAGGACTGTGGGACACCAGAACTATTAACCACGACTGCTTACTTAGTAAGCAGCTTTCGAATTATTTGAAGTGATCCCACTTTAGTTGTAGATTTTCATGTCACTTTTGTTGTTCCCTGACAAGTAGTGGTGTCTTAAACGCCCCTCCACATCCATACCCATCTCCTGGATACGGCACATTAAGGCATCGCCATGCAGTGACATTTTAAAATTTACAATTGCAACTTTTAAGTGTTGCTTCTTATTTTTATCGGGCGAACGGGGTAATAAATGTTGCCAAACTTTGTACTTGATGGCAGCTTTTATGTGTAGGTCGAAAATGGCCCGACTGCTCCTACAAGTGCGTGTGTACGTGCACAATGAGCTCGTTAAACGGTAATGTGCGTAGTGTTGTTGCCATAGTTGTTGTTGTTGTTGTAGTTCTATCGCTATAATGCTTGATGTTTGTTATTTGTTGTTTGGATGTTGTTATCCATGTGCGCCATTGATGGCTTCATAAATGCCACGGATGTGTTCTTTGCCACATTTATGTTGCTTCGTAAGCTCCTTGATGGATCTCGAGTGCTTTCTGTACAGCGAAGGGGCAGTGTTCCTGCCCCTCTCAGATGTGGGTCGTCAAGTTCGCAAGTTTAATTGGTTGGACACACTTTACGAGGTTAACAGCGCTGTGGTGGCAGCGTTGGATTGGTCGAGGATGCTTTCGAAATTTCTAAGAATTAATGATGTCATTTACAACATTTACATTGCAGCAAAATGTTGTCATGCGTCGATTTATTCGGCTACACTTAAATCTGGGTTTATTGGCATCATGTTTGGGCTATTGCTAACTTGCATTTAATCACTTCTCGTTGACATAGTGGTACGGAGATGAAGCCGCTAAGTCAAGATCGTTGGACAATGGTTTCATAAAGCAGTATTGAAATGGTTGTAATCTTTATATCCAAAAAACAACTAAATCGTCTGTTGTCTTCTCCACTCGCCGTCGACATTGCGAACGATATGGTACGACACAAACTGAACACTCCCTAAGTACTTGTTGAAGCTAATCGATGCAGATAGGTCAGAGTTCTATGCCTGTCATATTCTAACCCAATGGAATATAAGAAATTGTCAGATCGCAGCTATTCTTTCTCCAGAAATTAGAAAAAAACACTTTAATAGTAGAAATTATATCTCTTCAATCTCCTGCCATAGGATATATGTTATTCGTAATTTTTTCGATTTCGGTCCGAACCAAAACAAAACTTTTAATTGCGAACAAAGCACAAACGAAGAGCATAACAGTTTTCATTGCCTCTTTACAAACAAGCGGTAGAAGAAACTTTGAAGAGAACAAAGAAGATATCAAGAATGAATAATTTGAAAAGCACCTGAATACAAGCCATTTTCATAAACATGTTTAAATTTTGAAACAACTATTATAAAAATATATTTTTCAGAAGAAAAGGAAACCGAAATCGCTTAACCCAAAAGGGACAATAACATCGTTTTAAATAATAAATAAACAGTCTCAATATATTAATAAGGATGATATGAAGTACCTATGTACAATCTTAGTACATATTAGGAGCATATCTTTATCTTTTATTTTCTTTATTCGATTTGCAAATATATACTGAATAGCTAACTTTTTTAAATACGCGTTTTGCTGAGTTGAATTCGTCACTTTACGGCGATAGTCCTTAAAAGAGTATTGCGAAATCTCCGTCTTTAGCCGTGAAACTTTGGATCGATTCGCCTACATTCGACCAGACAGTTTTCGAAGAGGTATTTCTTTCCTCCTTATATAAATAATTGAGCTAAAATTAATTAAGACTAAGCACGAGTAGGGCAGCCAAAGGAAGAGTTAGTATTTTAACGGATTCGGCTTAATAAACTTCTCTCCGCATCAAATTAGTCATAAGAAACTCTACTAGCACTGGGGCAGCCGAGCTTAAATGCTTAGAACAGACTAGACGAGAGAAGACTCCTCGGTTGCTGTGAAATTCTGACAACGCAGAGTAATTGCTACAAAACTGTTACAATCGCCAAAACGACTAAATCGTTGAGCGAAAAAACCAAACGGTGACACCGAAATATCTACAACAAATAACAGTAAAAGCTGCATCTACTGCATGCGGCATCAGCGTTAAGAAAGCAGCAAATTTGAAAATGCTTTTTTACGCTAATTGTTTTTTCAGAATTTAATGGAAACTTTTTATTTTTAGTGGACCATTAAAACGCATTTTTACAGCCAGCTACGACTATGGCCGCATCAGAGACGAGCACACACACACGCTCTCTCTAAGAGTATGTGCAGCATTTCCAGCAACAACAAAAGGCGTAAGCCGAACCAGCGAATGCAACTTGATGGTCCATTAAAGACAAAGATTTGAAAAAGTACAAGACAACGTAGCGAGCAAGCGCATACCGCGTTCGATGGTGGGATCGGGCTTAGACTCTGGAGAAACGTCCAGCACAAAGCTATTGGCGGGTATAGGGCAATAACGGCACAGCCATATCCCTAAGCAGTAAATAAGCAACTAAGGGCAAGAAAAAATGCAAAGCAAACTGCTAGATATGTGTGAGATGCAGCCGCCGTTGGCAGGAGCGTAAAGTGTACAACAAAGTTGTAAAATGTTTCATTTCTTTTCTTTATTTTTAGTATTCCGTTCGTTTTTTCTGCGCCGTTTTAGTATTTTGTAGTTATGGGTTTCTTAATTTTTCGAAAGGAAATAGCTGCCGCAGGAGCTCGCCCACCCCTGTCGAAGTTGTCAAAAAGACCAGAACCAGAGTCCCGCTCCACAAAGATCAAATCATTAACGCAGTACACCGTTAGCCGCTGCCGCTGCCGCTGTATGCAGCGTATGGCGGCGCATAAACTTGTGCGTCCGCGTGTAAGTGCAATAAATGCGTGTTGTGCGCACTAAGGCAAAGAGCCGATACGTGTGTGGGTGTGGTGCTGTGTTGCACAAGAACATAGTAAGCGGCAACGTGGTGGCGCTATGCCGCTTGGGGCCATAAAAAGGGGAATATACTACATTCTTTACTAGCGGCAAAGATGTCGAATATTGAGTTATGTGCGTTGTTTGCGTTGTTTCGGCAATATAACGGTAATAACCGAATCGTTACAAACGCGTAAGCGGCACACACGCTTATGTGCGTATCGAGCCGAAAAAAAACTTATTTATTTAGTAAGCAACAAAGCTTCTGCATTACTGCTCCGGCAAACCGAAGGCGGGTGTGTGCGACAGCACTTGAAGACTGAGCGCTGAGCTTGAACACTATTCATGTTGAAAGTGCCGAACTGTGAGCTCACTGCTAAGTTTCTCTGGCGTTTTGAAAATTAAAGCTAAAGAGGTGAGGGGACTAGCGCTCCTGATCCGACCGTTAGGTCATGAATTTGCCATTTTACAGCCTCATATTTTTCTTAAGCGCATATCCGGAAGCGTCTTAGCTTGTTTTTGTTGTTAACCCAGCGCCACCCTTGGAATAACAAAGCTTAAACTTTTTAGTGTTGTCATTAAATTTTTCGTGTAAGTAGCGGTAAGCAGCAACAGAACCGGTGGTATGGGCGAATTGTTTAATAGAGAAATGGCACATCTACATGTCAGTGGGAGGGGGCGTAGCCATTTTGAGGTCCATCAAATGTTGCTTTGTTGCGCGCTTCCTGTACCATAAAGCATTACGTACCGCTCTCATGTACAATTACAATACAGTTGCACAGCATACTTGCTACCGCTTACGTTTTGTTGTTGTTTTTGTTGTTATTTCACAATTTAATGTCTCCTTTCGACAGTGCTGACACAACTTTATATGCGAGTACCGCTGAAGGGGCACCCCATTGTTGGCCGGAGCCAGGGTGGCGCCATCAGTTGTGGCATGCGGCGGGTGTCGGGGATGTAGGTCTATAAATTTCGATGTTTGCTTTTTATATTGCAAAAATTTTTCTGCTGAAATTACGGAAATTAAAAACGGAATGACTTTGAGATGTGCCGACCCCCGGCTGCACAGGCCTCGCCGTTACCTACCCCATTTGTAACCCTGTAGTTACCTTAATTTCGAAGCGGATTTCGTTGCTTTGTAGTTAATTTTTGCATTTGTTGTTGCTTGCCAGCAGTTTGCAGTTTAGGAGCGAGTTTACTAGAGATGCGCCCATAAAAGTGCCATTACAGTGCAGTTTCGCTACGCTGTTTGCACATTTTTAATACCATCGGGCGGTTGAGCCGCAGCCGCTCAGCCGAAGCGCCGCGCATGCCCCACCAGCCGAATCAGCGTAGCGACCCGAAATAAACGAAACGAGCGAGTGAGCGATTTTATATTTAATCGTAAAGTTTAGAAACTTTGTAATGACAACGACGATGGCGCTCATGGTTGGTGAGGCAGCGCCTTGTCGTAGACTAGATAAATTGCGTTCTCCACATTCACACACATGTGCACGACTCCCTCACCTCGGCGTTGCCATGCAAAGGTCACCATCAGCAGTTTTTCGACTACATTTAAGTTGAGTTTCCACTAAGGTTGGCGATACACACACACACACCCTCACAGCTGCCTTAACGACTTGGAAGCACTTCATCATACGGTAGCTCATCTTTGTGTTTCCATCTTATTATGCTCCATATAATTCTCCATTCTCCATTCTCCATTCTGCGTGCTTTATTTCTTATTTTATATATTTGGTTGTAATTTTTATTTATAATTTTGATGGCTCTTGGCTCTTGGCAGCTAACTGATGGATGCCTGTATTGCATAGAATTGCGATTAGAAAACTCAATTTGAGTAATAAACATAAAGTTTACATGCAACAAACTGCGGCGGCAGCAGCTTGCAACAAAAATTCGATTATCGTCGAAACACTAAAAATTGCTCATACGCATTTAATCATCGGCCTCATCAACGTCACGGCCATCAGCATCAGCAGCGCCAGCAGCTGCAGCTCTATGCCCCACAGAAGTGCTTTGAGGCCGC